GAGAAACCAAAGTGCCTGGAGAAAACCCACCCAGACAAAGGGAGAACATGCAAAGTGACTGCACAGAAAGGTCTGGGTGATCCAGGGATTGAACCTGCAAACTTTTTGCCATTCAGCCACCATGTCACTCTGGTTTAATTCACTCAAACATTATCATTATGGAATCCAAAAAAATGACAAGATCTAGCATTTGTTTGGACATTTCTTTTAAAAACTCTCATATAGAGTTAGAGTATATAGGCCCCCGCCCTACATCTAAAGTTAGGACATCACCTATTCTATAAACTGACTAAATACAGTGACTGACTAAATGACATGATAAGATTTAATTGCCTACACTGAAAATTTTCTCTGCATTTCACCCATCATTCTATGAGCGACCGCTGAGCTGCACCCAAGGGACCCTTCTGTAGCTTTTGAGGCAGGATCCTGTTGATGAGTTCCTATGGTAACGTGTCCAGATCACGACATGCTCGCACCAGACGAACAGGCTGGTGTAGAGCGTGTTCTGAGCCAAAGTTACAGTTTCATTTTGGCAGAACGTTCAGGGATGAGAGACTTGACTGTCCAGATGCTCCTTTGCTTCCTTCAACACTTCCTCCTGATCTTTTTATCAAGTCAGTTGAGGGTCCTGTACTGTGCTAAATGAGCTGGTAGAAAGTCGTTATCTTATCAAAAACATATCTGGAGTTGTGTTTTGTTTCATTCACACACAAAACACAACTGACTATGTTTATGATGAGGAAACCAGATAGTAGCGTCATCACTCTAACATACATTCTTTCTGTGAGTGGACTCGCCGCTCCTCAGACCTGACCTGTAACTTGGTCTGGTGGTGTGACCTGCTTGTCTCCATGGTGATAATGATTTAATGCTATACTGTGGAACAATCCAGGCAAAACAATAACATTTCCATGGAGACAAGATTTGACCGAGGGCAACTTCTTTACAGCTGCACTGAAAGGGAGCAAAGGATCATGGTCTCTGTAGTTCCCTTTGGGTGTTTGCAGCAACAAAACCATATTACTGAGGCATATTAGATTGCACTTTAATATAATTTACATTTTTAAAGGTCCTATATTACTCAAAAGTGACTGTTGTGAGCTTTAAGTTAAGTCAGAATGTTGTTTCCTCCTCAAAAATATGCCCAGAGTTTTGTTTTGGTTCATTCACACAAGTTTGAGTAAGCCTTTATTTTTTGTCTCTACATTTCTTAATCTCAAAATGCTCTGTTCCACCTTGTGATGTCATAAAGTGGTAGTTTTAAATAACAGCTACCTTTCATCTTTTCTTCGCTAGAGACTGGCAATTCCGGGGCTGAAATGATACAAGTGGTTTTAGTGAAGGTGAGTTTAAAAACACAGTGGAGCACTTCCTGTATCACCACATGACATCACAAGGTGCAACAGAGCGTTTTCTATATAAGTGAAGAACTAAATATGGAGCGTGTTAAACATGTGTGAATGAAACAAATGCAGGGGTGTCAAACATACTGCCCCAGTTCCGGATCCGGCCCTCCAAGACCTTTAATGTGGCCCTCGGCTGATTTTCTTCTAAACTATTTGAATTATATTTTCTATTCAAATATTGTTAATTTTCTGTGGTGTTTATCACAGCAGCGTCTCCAGTGTCTCTGTACGTGGCCCCTCCCACCAGAGCAGCACAAATGAAGACTTGTCTCTTTCCAAACGCTCTTAAAGGACGATCGTTCTGACTGTTGACCATGACACCCTCATCAGCAAAATGTCAAAAATGAGAAAAGTGGACGCTGAGTGCAGGATTTTACAACAAAAATTAATTTGATTAATTAAATTGTTAAAACATTGCGTTGAAACATGCATGCATTTTTCTCAAAGTTTCAGGTTGTTCATAATATTATAGTATTTTGTAAAAGAGTTCATCGATTAAAAAAGATTTCTGCAATAGAGTTGCGTTTCTCTGCACAAATATTTGAACTTATTGCTGTTTTTGCTGTATGTATGCCATGATTTTTCTGATCCGTCCTATTTGGGATCAAAGTAGGTTGGATACGGCCCCTGGACCAAAATGAATTTGAAACTGTTTTAATGCAAATCTTTATTAGGATTTCCCTTGTTAACTTTTAAATGTCTTTCACTTTTGTCTTTTGTTAGCTGGTTAAAGATGTTAATTGGTGTGTCTGGACAAACATGATCCTGGGGGCTGTCCTGTTGTGAGGAGCGTGCTGCAGGAAGAAACAGCTGGAAAAACAAAAACACCAGAGTGACTTCAGCAGGACACCTCATGTCCTCACACGACTCTTTCTGTTCTGACTCCTCTGACTCTGTGTCCTTGGCAGCTCAGGTTATGGCCTAGAGACCTCGTTCAGATCAATACAAACGCACTGACACGGGTCGATAATATTACTGTGTTTCATATGACATCACAACATTTTATAGTAATATTTAATACAGACGGAGCAGCAAAAATAATGTACTTATTAAACTGTGGATTAGATTTTTGATTGCGTCAATAGACAGAAATGATCAGGTTCAAAGTGTGTGCTGTAGTACAATTAAATCTATTGATACTTTGCAGTGACATCATGCCGGGGGTGTGCAACATGCATTTCTATGGCGGAATGTTTTTGTAGTTAAAATGAAGACACAATAGCTAGCTTGAGAGTGAGTTTTATGTGAGAGGGACTTGTTTTACAGCACAACGCAGCTTACCTGTTGGAGTTCCTTTTTGGTCAGATAGTGTTAAAACAAAGCTCAGATTAAAGTATAATTTGAGACAGAGCAGTGCCTACTGTTAGCATCACAACCCCAGGGAATGTTGATGACATCAGCTCTAAAGTTTCTGCAATGATATAAATATTGGGCTTGAATTGGACTTCTACAAACATGTTCTAAAATGATGAAATTCTTTTATCACTTAATTTGTTCTGTATTTTCCTCATATGTTAATGCATCAGGACATGTTTAAAATGTGCACAGGAAACCACTTTTTTTTTCTTTTTTTAAAATATAAATTACAAATATAATCAAATTTGTGATTATTTGTCAGAAAAATTGCAATTAGTTATTATTTCTCCACACAACAATCACTAATTATACAATTGCAAAAACACATGCAGGCAAAGTAGGTGAAGTGTATTGCCCAGGGGCAAAAAACTCGTATACACTGCTGTTGCATTGGCCCATATTTTCTGCCATGGCCTTCTCCTGTTCAAATGAGGGATTGCACCACCCACACACTCACTTTTTATTCAACCTAGACTGTTTTGTATTAGTGTTAGCACAGGACTCCACAGGGCTGTGTACTTTCCCCTCTGCTCTTCTCCCTATACACCAACTTCCAGCCACGACTCTGTAGCTGGAGGAGCAGCTGTGGAGCTCCTCTCAGACAGCTCTGAGTCTAGTCTGCTACATGAGGGAAGTAGACCATTTGTGGACCTGGTGCAACTGCAGCAACCTGGAGCTCAACACCCAGTAAGCAGTGGAGATGGTCAGGGGACAGCAGAGATGATCTTGGACTGCCTCCCCCCCTCACTGATGTCCTCATCATCACCGTGGACTCCTTCTGCTTTCTCGGCACCACCCTCACTCAGGACCTCCAGTGGGAGGCCACCATCAACTATGCCTTCATGAAGGGCCAGCAGAAGATGCACTTCCTGTGACAGCTTTAGGAAAGCCAAGCAGCCACCCCAGGTGATGATGTTCTACACGACCATCATTGAGTCCATCCTGACCTCCGACCTTCTGAGGGCGGAGGGGTGAGGGCAGAGGCGTGAGTGCCGACGGGTGAGGGCAGAGGGGGAGGTGTTCCTGTGGATGGAGTCCTGTGCTGTGGAGGGAGTAGTGCATCAAATGTTCCTGTTGTAAAGGTCTATGAGGTTAGGTGTATTTGTAGTTTGGTGATCCACTGGTCATATAACTCAGACTCAGATGAGGAGACTGTGGACTGCAGCCTTGTAAACGTGCTGTGCAGCCTAGTCAGCAGGTTGTGTTTGTTTTGGTCGGAGCTTGGGTTCAGTCACCCCACACAGCGGAGCACACACCACAGACCACAGAGCAGAGCAGGTGCAGGGACTGGACTTTCTGGACCTTTCTTCCAAATCTGTGATTGTGTAATGTCCAAACCACCACAGACGAGAGCTCGGTCTGTTTAAGCCAGTGAGAATGTACCATGCACTGTACCATTGTCTTACATCACGTACAAATTTCAACATGCTTAAGAAATTTAAACCTACTCTCCTACTATTCTGTTTTACATCCATGTATCTATTCTTCCCGTATTAAAAGTTTCCTCTGCAAACTTGCTTATTATTTATTTATTTATAATAAAACAATACCTTGAAAAATATGCATTCTACTGTAAGCAGACCCACCTCTCCACAGATCAGACCTGTAAACTGGCTTGCTGCTTTCCTCCATGGAAATAAATAAGTTTAATATCATACAAAGCAAAGCATCATCTCCATAGTGGTGGAGCCTCCACCCAGAAAGTTACATAGTGCATCTTAATGATCTGACCTTTGGTGCATGTTTTGGGTTGATGGAGGAACCTTGAGTGCCCAGAGTAAACCCGCCCAGACACAGAGAGAATATGCAAACTCTACACAAAAGGGCCCAGGGGTTGAAGCTGGAATCTTCTTGCTGAGAGGCAAAAATGGCTAGACTCTCAACCACCATGCTGCCACTTGACAATTAGACTGATACATTTGTTAATTTTGTTTTGACTGTGACTTATTGTGCAGCTCTACCTCACACTCACACTGTTGAAATCATGCAGAGTAAATTCTTGGTGTGAGGTTTTAAGGCTAACCACTCTGCCAATATGCTGTGATGAAGTTGGTTTAATCTAGAAACATCCAGATCTTTGCATATATTGATTTAAATGTTGTTATTGTTGATTCCTTGTACAGAGTTTGCAGTGGTTACACATCAGAAGGTGTGTAAGCACTGTGTGGGTGTGTGTGTGTATGCCCCGCCCTCTTTGGCCCAAAATGACTCATCCCAAAAGGATAAAACCCCATCCTGGGCCGGCCCTGCTCTGCTCCTCCAGGCTCCAGCTCCAGACCCAGACCTCACCATGAGACTGCTCCTGTGCCTCTGCATCACCCTGGCCCTAGCGCTGGCGTAAGTAACCCTTGCCATAGAGATTAACAATTTAAAGCACAAAATTTAATCTTTTTAATGGGAAAAAATCCTCAAAATGGTGCATGAATAATTTAATGTTAAGACAGGTCAGAATTCTATGGTGGAATTTGCTGTTTGATTGTCAGATTACAGATTTATTGACCTGGTTTATGGTTCATATCTCTGTAATTACTGGGTTTATCCACATAAAAAATGGCACAAATTTAAAGTCACAAGCTTCAGTAAATGATGCTATTATTCAACTTCACAGACATGATTGTAGTCATCTTAAAAGACTTTAAACCATAAGGTTTCTTTAGCAAGTCTGTGAAGCCAATAGTGATAAAGTTCAACGTTTGTGGTCCATAAGTCTGGATATTTCTTGGAGAATTTATTGCTTTGCCTTGAATGCTCCACAGTATGGCATTAAACATACCTTTCTCCATGGAGATGGATAAAGCCACTAGGTCACATTACAGGTCAGATCTATGTAGAGGCGGCCCTGCTTACACTAAGAATATATGATTTTCAAAGTACTTTTTAGCAATAAAAACAAATGTCATTGAAATGTAAGATAGATGTTCCATACTGTACCCTAGGGCCAAGACAATAACACCTCCATGGTGCATCATTGACTATTTCAGTGTATCAAATGACAGTAACAATGAGTGTATTTTTGTACTTGCCAGTCAAATGTAATTGTGTTGTGTGTGTTTGTGCAGAGATAAAGACAAAGGCCAAGGCCATGGTCATGCACATGGGAAGCCAGACCACGCTCCAGGACCTCCTCACGGACGAGGGAACAAGCCAGACCACCCCCCCGGACACACAGAAGGACACAGCCATGGGCTCGGCCATGAGAAGCATGACCATAAGCATCACGAAGGTGAGGGTCCAGGACACTACCTATTCTCCACACATAATAATAATAATATTTATATTATAGTAACCTACATCATGCCGGACTGATGTGTAGTACTTTGAAGAGAGTTCAGTTCTACACATCAATCTGGGATGGCTCTCGCTGAAAGCAATCAGGACGTTCAAACTAATTCTCCAAGCTGATGGAAGTGTCACAACAGCTGAACAAGCCAAAAAATGTAATCTTTTGTCAAATCCAGCACAGGCATCACAAAATCACAAAAGGCCAAATTATGTTCATCTGCGTCTCCATGTTTGTTTTGCTGGCTTGGGATCCACCCAAACCACTATGGTGCTTGCTAACTGGTCAAATCTCTGGGCCCTGTTGCACCAGCGGGAGCCATTAAGATGGATTCTTGCGAGTTTGTAAACTCACAAACATCACAAGGATCCATCCTGCTGCACAAAGTCAGGATTAATAATATGTAACACAGACGGACACGAGGACGGGCACGGGAAGGACAACCACACGCACCATGGGGGTAAGGAACCAACCAGGCAAGTCCCAGCTCTCTGTTCTGTGTTGTCGTCAACATTCAAGCTAACTGGACGCACTGCGCTGTCTAATGCTCAATTGCTCAGCTTAAACCTAAATCTGAGCTTTGCTTTCACATTATGACCATAAAGAACTGACTTTGTTGGATCTACTAAAGGTAAGTTAAATGCTTGTGCTTTAAATAAGGCCCCCTCTAATAACACGGCCGTCATAACCTTGTACTGGTCAAGCAACAAGCCTGAATCCTTCTTTACACCTTTATTGATTTTTTTCAGCTGATTTTGACCGGTGCAAAGGGCTTGAGATGGATGCAGTCACAGTGAACGAGGAGGGAGTGCCATACTTCTTCAAGGGTCAGTGTCAAAATGAGTCTCTCTTACCTGGTCTCAAACCTACAGTCTATGAGTATTGAGTATAATGTGCTCTCTACCGCCCCCAGCTGACCACTTGTACAAGGGCTTCGATGGGGAGGCGGAGCTGGCCAATGAGACGTTCGCAGAGATGGACGATGATCACCACCTGGGCCACGTGGACGCAGCCTTACACATGCAGCACGAAGGCAGTCCTGATGATGACCATATCTTCTTCTTCCTGGTGTGTACAGACCTGGTTTAGTCCCGGTCTAGTCATGGTGTAGTCCTTGTTTAGTTCTGGTTTAGTCCTGGTTTAGTTCTGGTTTAGTCCTGGTTTAGCTCTGGTCTAGTTCTGCTTTAGTCCTGGTTCAATTATGGTTTAATCCTTGTTTAGTCCAAGTTTAGTCCTCATTTAGTCCTGGTTTTGTTCCAATTTAGTCTGGGTTTAGACCTAGTTTAGATCTGGTTTAGACCTGGTTTAGTTCTGGTTTATTCCCAGTTTAGTGCTGGTTTAATTCCGATTTAGTCAGAGTTTAGTCTGGGTTTAGACCTAGTTTAGATTTGGTTTAGTTCTGGTTTAATACTGGTTTACTTCTGGTGCTGGTATAGTCCTGGTTTAGTTTGGGTTTAGTCCTGGTTTAGTTTTGATTTAGTCCTGGTTTAGTTTTGGTTTAGTTCTGGTTTAGTCCTGGTTTAGTTCTGGTTTAGTGCTGTTTTAGTCCTTGTTTACTTCTGGTTTAGTCCTGTTTTAGTCCTGCTGGTTTAGTCCTGCTCCTTCTGGTTTATTCCTGGTTTAGTGCTGGTTTAGTCCCGATTTAGTCAGAGTTTAGTCTGGGTTTAGACTTGGTTTAGATGTGGTTTAGTTCTGGTTTAGTCCTGGTTTAGTCCTGGTTTAGTTCTGGTGTAGTTCTGGTTTAGTCCTGGATTAGGTCTGGTTTAGTTCTGGTTTAGTTCTGGTTTAGTCCTAATTTAGTCTCGGCTTAGTCCAGGTTTAGTCCTGATTTAGTCCCAATTTAGTCTGGGTTTAGACCAAGTTTCGATCTGGTTTATTCCTGGTTAATCCTGGTTTCATCCTGGTTTTGTGCTGGTTTAGTCCTGGTTTAGTGCTGGTTTAGTCCTGGTTTTAAAAAGTATTGCAGTGGTACAGGATCTTGTCTAATTTTCTGTGTGCAATATTTTGAGAAAGTCAGTTTGGATTTGACTGTGTGTAAACTGAAGACGTGACTAGTTCTCTGCACTCTGTCTGTATGATGCAGGACAACAAAGTGTTCAGTTATTACCAGCACAAACTGGTGGAGGGCTTCCCCAAAGACATCTCTGAGGTGTTCCCTGGGATCCCCGAACATCTGGACGCTGCCGTGGAGTGCCCCAAACCTGACTGTGACGAGGAGTCTGTCATCTTCTTCAAAGGTACCACACTGGTTTAGTCTGAGTTTAGTCCTGGTTTAGTTCTGATTTAGTTTTGGTTTAGTTATGTCCTCATGCAGCAAAAAAGCAGCACCGACAATTACCATATCTACTTCTTTTCAGTTTGTAACAGTCCTTTTTTAGTCTGTGGTTGGTCCTGGTTTAGTCCTGGATTAGTCCTGGTTTAGCCCTGGTTTAGTTTTGGTTTAGTCCTGTCAGAGTCTGTCATCTTCTTCAAAGATAGGACACTTTTCATTGCATTAAAGTGCATCTGACTTCTGATGATTGTCTATTTTTTGCATAATTTGGAGTGATAATAACTGTTATAACTATAAAAGATAGTTTTACTCCGACCAAGAAGCAATTGGTGAATAAAACAAAAAATATAAATATTTTGTAAAATCTTAAATACAAGATTTTACAATTTTATAATCTTAAGATTTTATATAGTGAAATGAGTAATCCAACCCATCATAGACACTTTAATTATAGATTCTAATCTGTATAAACATTTTTCTTTTGCTTTTTGAATTATATCTGTATGACTAACAGATTACACACACCTGCATTTAGTATTATTTTTCTTATTTGGGAGTCCTGGTTTTGCTCTGGTTTAGATATGGTTTTGTTCTGGTTTAGACTAGCCAGGCTTGTGCCACCTAGTGTCTCCGCTCAGTTTCATTTCTCTCCACCGACTTTGGTCAGGAATCGAAATACACTAGACAGTTTGCAAGAACCCCAGAAGTTGTAGACAGCACACCGGCCAATCAGCGAAGACCTGTGAAGCCATGATGTCAAACTCAAGCACCTGTCTGTGTCCCTTTTGTGGTACAGCGCAACAGTAAACAAAGCGTCGAGATGGATGTAGACAAAGACAGACATTCTGTGTTGGCAATGATTCCCGAGATTAAAGGATTTAAAGCCAGAACAAAGAGAATATTTGGTGAATTTTATCAAGAGGAAAGACGTTATTGTCCTTCTTCATATGGGATTTGGGAAAAGCTTAATATACCAGTTAGCCCTGTTAATGGAGCATCACATACGTCAGACCAAATAGCAGCGATTGGTTAAATAAAAAAGTATCTGCCTACTGTCGAGCGAACGAATCCTAATGCTGCGAAGTGAAACCTATATATAAATCTATATAATGATGAGTATATATGTGTAAATATGATTTCATGACATACCAGGGGCCACAGTGGGGCAACAGTGGCTGTAGTGTATACTGCTTTTGTGTCCTTTAGCAAGACACTTCACCCACCTTGCCTAGTACAAATGTGATGTGTTATGGACCTGACTTCTTCATGTTTAAGTTAATACAGTAAAGTAATAATGTTTTTATTGCTCACAGGAGATGAAATCTATCACTTCAACCTCAAGACCAAAGCCGTGGAAAAGAAAGAGTTTGATTCAATGCCCAACTGCACCTCCGCCTTCCGCTTCATGGAACATTACTTCTGTTTCCATGGACACCAGTACTCCAGGTTTGACCCCAAAACTGGAGAGGTCCCCGCTGGCAAGTACCCCAAAGCAGTCCATGGGTACTTTGTGAGGTGTGCCAAGTTCGGTAAGAATTGCTCAAGTTTTTACACTGCACTGATTCATGTCAATTGAGCGATGCTAACTGTAAGCACTGCTCTGTCTGAGGCTGTGTAGTTAAACAAGTCTCTTCTTTGTGTGTTCAGGTGATGACGACGATCACGTGGAGAGAGAGAGGTGCAGCAGAGTTCACCTGGACGCCCTCACCTCTGACCACTCTGGAAACATGTTCGCCTTCAGAAGTGAGTGCATTTTGGCTTTCTCGTGTTTAATCACGTTCAGCAGCTTTTATACAAATTTCTATGATAATTTTAATAGTAATTTTTTTTTTATTGCATGCTGTAAGTCAATCAAGTTCAATTCACTAAGCTTGCATTCACATTTGGTCCTGTTCTAATCCTGGTTTAGTTTTGTAGTCCAAGTTTAGTTGTAGTTTAGTCTCAAATGTAATATGTTGTGTGAATGCAGCTTCAAATTCAACTCAAATTTTAGTTAATGCAGTGAAGTTAAAGGGGCGCTACGTAACTTTTCTGGTGGAGGAGAGGTTTGCTTTGTCTGGAATATTCCTCAGTATGACATTAAACATACACTCTAAGAAATGAAACACTGAAGTTGTTCAACTACATCGCATATTTGTTTAGAATTTGTTTGAAAATGTTCTTTTTCAAAATTAATTAAGTATGTGTACTTGTATTTAAGAAACAGAGTAACTTTAACCTATTTTGTATTTGCTTGTTTTTCTTAATTCTAACCTTACATTGTTAAATTAATTCTGACTAAAATTGCTTGTAGTTTATATATACAAATTATGGTTTAAATAAACATAATATTGTTGAAAATTCCAAAACAATGTTGTTAATTGGTAAAAGAGAAGCTTTGAGTAGTCTTGAAGCAACATTTTTTACTTTGGATTTACTTTGGATTTAGTAATAACCTGTTGTTGCAGTTACCTGACAAAGTCTTTCACATTAAAACAACAGGCTTGTATCCATCTTTATTAATCCATATCCATCTCCAGAAAGATATGCAGGAGGAAAAATCAGGCCAAGTAAGTTACAGGTCTGATCTCTGGACAGACATATTTTTAGATAAGAGCAATAAAAACATTCATAATTAAATCAAACGTATATGTTCCAATCAAAGCAGTCATATCTGTGAGAAGATGCCACCAGAAAAGTTCCGCAGTGCACCTTTAAAAGTCGCTCTGGTGTCACTCTAATGTATCACTATGATCTCCGCCCAGACCACCACTTCATCCATAAAGAGGCAGCGAATGACTCCATCTCTGTGGACAACATCGAGCATGACTTCAAAGAACTGCACGGTGATGTGGACGCTGTGTTTTCATACGACGACCATCTCTACATAATCAAGGCACGACCACACGCACTACTCTCCTCACTCCTCTCACTGTTACACACACACGTCCCTTCATACTGACACTAAGTAAGAATTCTGTTCATTTCAACGGTGAATCAAAGAAAAGTAAATTTAAATATATAAAGTACAATATAAAGTATAGGCTGATTTGTGTAAAATGCTCAAGTGCACGAACAAGGTTAAGTTATAGTGAAGTGACAATCCCACACCCAGGGATCATCTCCAGATCTTGAGCTAGTCTTAGTCTGGACTACTTTAGCTGGAGGATTTGACCTTTGGTGCCTGTACCCAGACACAGGGAGAGCATGAATCTCCACTCAGAAAGGCCCGGATCACCTAGGGATTGAACCTAGAGACTTCTTGCTGTGAAGCATGAGCTCTAGTCACCGTGCAGCAACATTCAATTAGATAAGAAATAAGAAATAAAACATAATATCATATCATTTTAGTATTATATAATAAACATATAATATCATTGTCATGTCTAATAATTAAACTGAATGTAATAAAAACAGTGCAGTAAAAAACATAATGAAGATTTCTCCAGCAGATGAGGAAAGCTGTCATGTGAAGTGAGAGAAATACATTGACAGATTCAGATGTGTGACTTTGGAGGCCTCTAGAGCACAGAGGGAAACATAAATGATGTTACTCCATCACTAACCCCGCTCCTTTGTGCAGGATGACCACGTGCATGTGTACACAGACTCAGAGCCCCACACTAAAGTGGACGGTTACCCCAAAAAACTGAAGGATGAGCTGGCCGTGGAGGGGCACGTAGACGCCGCCTTCGTCTGCGAGGACCACCACTATGTTCACATCATCCAAGGTAAGACACACTCAGGCATTAATAAGGCTGATTTGATATTTATATTCAGATTGTAAGGGTTTATATGAGACGAGATGAGTGAGTTAGCTGAAGATTTAGTCATTTATGGTATTTATATGTAAAAAGGCAGATTTAACTCATGATTCACAATTTTAATCTGTCTTTATATAAATACACCATTTTCTATTTTCTTTTTTTCTGTATAAATAGTTATTTTTGCATGAACTCCCCCTGCAGGTGTAGTCTTGTTAGTACAGTTTGGGTCGGATCATAAACTGTATAAAGAAATGGACTAAGTGAGTGTGACGCTGCCCATAGTATTTGGGCTTCAGTCAAATGAAGCTCATCGAGGGTCAAATTTGGAGCAGAGTTCCATATTGGGAACAGGAAACAGGATCATGTAGGGCTGGTTATTAAGAACATTTTAAGACCAAAATGACGAGGCTCACTGCAGCAGTTACAGAGAGAAGCGTGATCATTTTTCGATGTAAAGTCAATTGACACCAGAGTCGATGGAGCTAGAAGCGCCCCCATGCTCACTTCCTATTTGGAAATAGCGGGTTATATGTTTGTATAGATACATTCTATGGGTCAGATACATAGGCTATGTTCAGACTTGCAGCCTGAAGTGACCCAAATCTGAATTTTTGGCCCCTATGCTCCTGTATCTGATCTTTTAATGAACGACACAGATCAGATTTTTTCAAATTCGACACAGGCCACTTGGATATGTGCTCCTAAAACCGATACATATCAGATTTTTTAACATGCGACTTCAGTCTGAACGGCCAGGTCACTTTCATCCCACCTACACGTCAGGCTCAGAGTCTAGTCAATGGATGGAAAGCGAGGTTAGCAAGTTCATTAATATTTGGAGAGATCGTTGTATTCAGGCCAAATTGGAGGAGTCCTATTGGAACTGGGCGGTTTTTGAAATGATTGCCAAAGAAATGTCCGAGTGCGGCTATGAGCGGTCCTGGCTCCAATGCCAATGAAAAATAAAGAGACTATGAGCAAGGCGGATAAAGAGTCAAACAAACTAAGTGGCCGTGGACGTGTAACTTGTTCATTTTACCAAGAACTGGACTGTATTTTGTGAGACAAACCCAGCATTTAGCAATTTGGGGGCCTAGGCGAACTTGAGTTTGGGGCCCTCACTATAATGCACTGTTTTTTGTTTTGTTTTGTGTAACATATTTATTGTCTATTTCCCCCCATTGTTCTTGAGACATGCACATCTCTATTTGAATTATGGTGGATTGGAAACTTGTCTTATTATTTTGGTCACCTATGAGATAACCAGATTTGAAAGTAGTTTTATTTTTTCACTAGTACAATTATATTTTTGTTTACATCTATTACACACTTTACTTTTTTTTTTTTTTTTTAAGTAAAATACTCTCATTTAATGTCATATTGAGAGAAAATCAAATCGCTCTGAGGCCTCCACCATTAGTGGCACTGAGGCCAATTGGTTGGGGGCCCCTCCAGGTTTGGGGGCCCTAAGCAGCCGCTTACATTTGCCTAATGGTAGCACCGCCTCTGCTTCTGGAGATCACACACAAGTCAAATTTTATTAGGAAATGTGAACGACCTTGCAAAAAACAAATCGGATTTCACAAAAAAATCCAAATTGAGCTTTAAGCCCTGCAGTCTAAACGTAGCCATAGAGATGTGTAATAGTTTTGACAGCTTTTGCCACTCCCCCTTTTTAATCAACCAACAGATTTGCGGTAAATGTCTTTAGTCAACCAAAAATTAGTTTAATCTACTGCAACTCTACTTCGATTACCCCCTCTGCTCTCTTTCAGGTGACAAGATGGTGGACGTTGACCTCAAAGCAAGCCCGCGCGTGAAAACAGAAGAGCGCCCCCTGTCCCTGTTCAAGAAGGTGGACGCCGCCATGTGCGGACCCAACGGGATCAAGGTCGTCGTGGGCAACCATTACTACCACTTTGACACCGTCATGCTAATGGTAGGCGCCAGATCCCTCCCCGAGCAGCACCGAGTCTCCACTGAGCTCTTCGGATGTGACCACTAACGCAAAACTCCAGTCCAACGCCATTCAGATAACAGTGAACATATAACAGCCATAAGATTAAACAATACAAATCTATCTTAGCTTTCTTTTCTTACCTCATAATGTAGTCCACCGGCCCTCCACAGATGTTCATAGGTTTGTGTTGTGAATAAAGATGAATGGAAACAACTAAATATGGGTTTACTTTTCTTGCTTTATTAGTCTGTCTTTATCTACAAAAATCAGGAATTCTACTGTTACTGTGAATCCAGCTCCTACAGATGAATGCTGTTGTTGTGTCCTTGGGCAAAACACTTAACCCACACCAGAATGTGTGAGTGGTTCCTCGTTGCCTTGAAGGTGGAAAACGCAAAAATCTGCCTTGGTAGCTCAAATCGACAGGAATGTAATCTGTAACAGCGCTCGGAGGTTGTGTGCATGCATAGTAGTGCTAGGTAGCTCAATCTAATACAGATTACTGGTCCGAGCCTAGAAAATAGTATAATATTTATCTCCATGGAGACAAGAAGGTGAAGCTGCCACCTATAAATAAATGTATTAATTAATTTAGGAACGAGTCATAAGAGACAAAGGGAGGAAGACGGTGACGATAGTAATGCTGAAGTTTCTTCAAAGAGGTCGTGTCACTCCCCACCAGTTGACGAGGCTGATGAAGCTCCAGCAGAGGCCCACACTGAATCAGGATGGTCCCTTTGGGCATCAGGATGCTTCTATAGTATCCAGTTTGGTGGTGATGAGGAGGAAAATGACAGTGAAGATGAGAACTGTCCTGTCAAGTCTGAAGAAGCTCCAGCAGAGCCCCTTACAGCTCAATGTTCGGTTTATTCTCAATTCTTCAAATCTGAATACACTTTTTAAAATTGTAGTGTCCACAACCATTGGTAAATATTGGTAATTAATACATTTATATTTTATACATTTATTTAGGAATAAGCCAGAAGAGGCTAAGAGAAGAAAACAGTGACAATGAAGAAGCTGCTTCTACGAGGTCGTGTCCCGCCCTGCCAGGAGGACACTGATTGATCCCCTGGTGCCCTGGGCCTTTGTGTGGAGTTTGCATGTTCTGACTGTGTCTGGCTTAGTGTTTCCTCTAGGTCAGGAGTCTCAAACTCACAGCCTGGGGACCATCTGTGGCAGGTGGAATGATGTTTTGCGGCCCCAGACTTGCACTTGCTACTACATGTGCTTCTGCTTGTCCCCTGCACCATTACTCTCCTGCAGGCACGAGCGGGCGGGCGCCAGGAGGGAAGTTTAATGCTAGTGTTGAAAATTCTTGGCAAAACAAGTTTCAGAGACAAGTAAGAGACAGACCCTCCACCTGAAATGTTCTGCAGTGAAACTATTTCACAAAAGCATTTTGAAAATGTTTGAGATGGCAGATTTAAAAAGTTTTAGATTAGTTTTAATTAAAAGAACTTTCTATAGTTTTTTAGTTTTAGGTGGCATATTAAAACCAGTGTAACCCGTTTCCAGTTGACTAAAGAAATTAAATGAGAAATCACAATAAATGTACAGATTTAGTCTTCCACTCTTTCAAATGGAAAGTGCGTTTGTTTTGTTATGGCTGATTGTGTCCAGCAGAGGGAGCCCTTTGCCCACGTTAGGGGCTCTGCGTGTTTAGACCAAAGTAACGTGGATTATGTATGGTCCAAAATATATGACCACAGTACTAATATTATGCAAATGCAGTGGTTGACAATAAAACTAAAATTAAACATCACAGAAATGTAACGTTTTAAATAATTATTGTTTATGATTTTGTATTAAGTCTTATAGGCTAGCCTAGTTTTGATTTTAATCTTTTTTTTTTTTTGTCTCTGAATTTTTTAAATTTAGTAAAACTTGAATATTATTATTATTATTATTATTATTATTATTATTAGTAGTAGTAGTAGTAGTAGTAGTAGTAGTAGTATTAGTATTAGTATTAGTATTAGTATTATTATTATTATACAGTATAGTTGCATATTGGACTAGTTTTGACTTAATTATAACCTGATAAAATCCTGGTTTAGTTCTGGTTTAGATCTGGTGCTACTTGGAAACCTAAATCTTAGGGATGGTACAAGATCTTGTGCCACAAAATCTCGTGAGACAAAACTGCCACACATGAGAAAAATGATCTCACAAGATTTTTGTTTTGTTTTGTGTTGTGTTACATTTGGATTGGACAAAAAAAAAAAAAGGTTCAGCATTGGTGAGTCTCTTACAGTTCCAAAAAGTATCAGAATGGAAACGACAATATGAAATCAAAGACATAAAAACTGTGAGGTCAAAACTGGAAACTGAATTGTGAAATTTCTATACTAGGAATTATGTTGAAATCTCGTCTTGTCTCGTTCTCGTGGACCCAGTCTCGTACCTCGTTTCGTCTTATGGAATTTGTGTCTCATCTTTGTTGTAATGATGAACTAATATCGGAACTACAATAATAATAATGCAAGATAACACCAGTAAATGTTAACATTTTCATTATTTAAAGAGACAGTATGATTAGAAGACCTGAGCTGCTGCAAATAAATAACAGAATTAACCAAGAATTAGTCACAGAAGTCACATTTTCAACTCTTTACAGCTCATGTTTTATTGTATTACAACAAAAATAATGAAGATCTCAAAGAAATTCTACTCAGCAAAAAGTAGAGGGTTAAAATTTCAGGGTAAAATATTTCAGAGTTGTTTTTAACTCAGTAAATTGTTATTTTAACAATTTGAGAGTTAAATGGGGGGTTGAGTTGGAGCTATTTACCAGAGTTGATATGGCTAAAGTTAATTCAACTTCCCTTAGTGTTAATTTGTCTCCTCCCACCCACCACTTCAAACTCCCATGAGAGAAGACCAGTTTGAACCCGTTTTGTACATAATTTTATTTTAAATTAACTAAAATAAAGTGTAAAAATAAAACACCTCTGTGTGTTGTTTAGCTAAATCAGGATAACCCTACAAAGTGTTATCAGTTTACTCTCAAAACATTCATATAACTCTTGATTTTGGGGTTAAACAGAAACTTTGGTCCAGTGTTACTTAATATAAATTTCCAAAAATGTTACTCTAGAACAGATTGGACTCATAGAAACTCTGAGAAAATGTTAAAATAGATTCTGTGAGAGTCAATTTTAACACTCCACTTTTTGCTGTGTACACACGATAAATACTGAGTCCCAAAATATACTGTTCCAGCTTTCATATATTGAATGTCCATATAATTACATGTCCATTTCTAACAATAATTAGGGATGTAACGATATTATCACGATATGCATCTGACGGTACGATATTTATTGCGATATTTTTGGAGAGGCTGATATAATTGTGGATAAGACTCGTTTCTGCTTTTAAAATACCTTAACAAGATTTTTGTGTGAATTATTTCAATCATAATCCCAAGAAATCAAGTAAAAAACATATTTCTTCATGTTGTCTGCACTGAAATGAATCATGGGATATGTAGTTTCTTTAATAAAACCATGTATTTACGCAAAGGAACTTGTAATTCGATATATTGTGACAGCCCACGGTATTATTGTGAGACTTTTGACAATATTTCGGTTATTGTTACATCCCTAACAATAATAAATACACAAATATGAGTTGTTTTCATTTTGCGTTCATTTTGACGGGAATAAATCGAGAGTCTGTGTGGGCGGTTTCTCTCTCGTCTCTAATCTGAAGTAATGCGGTGATGTCAGCCTCACAAGGACACGGGAACGCGACGCAAAACAATGGACGGATAGAGAGAAAGGAGAGGGAGAAAGAGAGAGAGGCAGAGAGAGAAAGAGGCACAGGAGGAAAGAGAGAAGAGAGATAAAGAGAATGTGGGAGAGAAGGAGAGAGAGAGAGAGAGGACAGTGATACAGTCTGTTCGGCCTGTGATGAGTTCAGGGTAAAATCTTGCCAACTGATGGTCTCACATCTGGTGTCACCGCCGAAGACAGAGATGCAATGTTCTGCAGAATGACATTAAACCAGACTTTAAACCTCTCTATTTTGCATTTATTCAGTTAAATGTGTTTTTATTTCTAATGTAAAATGATGAAAAACATGCATTCTTACTGTGAGTGGTCTCTTCTCTCCGCAAACCTGACCTGTACCTTGGCCTAGTAAAGTTGCCTTATTATGTGCATGGAAATTGGTAAGATTGATGCTACCGTGGAACGTTCCAGACTTCGGAATGTGGACGGAATTCTAAAGTGCTAAAGCGAGTGTTCAGAAAAGTGTGATGTAAGACACTATTAAGACTAAGACATGCATCCCCAATTTCGGACTTCCGGTCATCGCACAATGCATACTGGGAAGGGCCCTCCGAAAAAGTGAGCATCAAATCGCCATGTTTGATTTCCCAGTGGGATGCGTCTATTGTCAAAGCCGATCTTTTCTAGTCTTTTGAATCATATCGCTTTTGTTTCTGGTCCTGATATTGTCATATTTTTGGACATCGTAATTGTGTGGTTGTTGGATCCTAACAGCGGAAAACAGCTCGAGAAACGGGCTTCGGAAGTTTGCAAACCTCGTAAATGCAAAAGGGAATCAGATATGTGTGATTGCCAACGTCCGTTCAAACTGTTTCCCTTCCCAACGGAATTGAAAAATAGTGAAAGGTGAAGGCGATGGGCAGGATTGATCCACGGGAAGGATGAAAAAGGAAACCTTTGACTGACTAAATTATCCCGAGTTTGCAGCGAACATTTTGTATGTGGAGCAACAACAAAGCAAAATCCCGATCCTTCGCTCAACCTTGGTTACAAATTTAAAAATTCAACGCCAAAGTGAAAGGCACCAGCTGTTCACCAAGAAACACCTTCCACTGCAAAGAGACCAAGACGTGATGTTGCTGTAAAACCACAAGAACAAGAAAGTGTGAGCTCTGCCTGTTTGTCTTCTGTACCTCTCGCTTAACAAAGAGGGTCTTGCTTTGTTGGCACTCCTCATACAAAATGTTCGCTCCAAACTCGAGATGATTTCTTAGGCAGTCAAAGGTTTCCTTTTTCGTCCTTCTTGTGGATCAATCCTGCCCATCACCTTCACCTTTCACTATTTTTCAATTCCGTTGGGAAGGGAAACAGTTTGAACAGAGGTTTGCAGTCACACACATCTGATTCCCTTTTGCA